CTGGACCTGGACCCAGACCCGAATAGATTCGGGTCCAGGTTTTGGACCCGGACCTGACCCGTCGGGTCCAAAATTGGACCCATACCCGTACTTGTCGGGTCTCAGGTCCATTGTCATCCTCACTATGGGATGCTTTTTTTTTTTTTTTGCCCTTTTTTTTAGCATCATATACTTGTATTATTGGCAACAAGGTCACAATCATCCGCTATTAGATTTCAAGCCATGTGATTTGTCATTTAATAATTAAAGATGACTATTAGTTTTAATTATATACGTTCCTTAATACACTGAAATGAATAGGACTTAAAGTAAACTATTTTATCTCTAACATTTTACAAGTACAGGTTGGGTCTAGTTGGATCCAGACTCGGACCTGGACCCTAGATAGTGTTCGGGTCCAAATGCTAGACCCATACCCGACCCGTGTCGAGTATACACGACGGGTACTGTGTCAAGTATACACGACGGGTCCCGTGTCTAGCCCGGGTCCATTCCCACCCCTAATCTGATGACACTTGGATCCTAAAAATTCAGAAAAAGAAAAATTCATAGAGTTACCATTTTCTCGAGAGAGTTGTTATATACTATGTCCCTCATGAGCATGAGATGCACACTCAATGAATATTTTCCAGCTTTTGCTTGTGGTAAAGTCTCCTCTCCGATTGCCTTGGGTCCTAAGGCCCAGTTTGGACGTCAAATAAAAAATCCTACATCATTTTTTTTTTTAATTATTTCAATGAGAAACATGTTCATCTTATTTTATATTTTTGATAGAGTATTTGAATTTTGTTAAAATATTAAAAGTAAATTTTATTAGTCAGATATGTTTATTTGAATGCTTTGCAAGTAAATTATGACTTCATATTTTTTTTCTTTATGTTTTTCATTATATCATGTTTAACCAACCTTGATCTTTAACTCTCTTTTCTCATGGGTTTGATAAACAAATAATGTGGAAAAAATTAAAGTGTTTCATGGCTATTGAGAGGATAATGAACAAAAGTAATAGTAAATAAGAGACTTTAATACCAGTTCCATAACCCATAAACCATGACTAATTTCGCCCATTTTAAAGATTATGATCTCAGTTTTATAATATCATGGGGCAAGCTTAACCTTATATCTATATATTGACCAAAACAAAATCCACAAAATATTATTATCCAAAACAAAATAGAAGCATGGAATTCACAATTACAACCAATCATATATTTTTATGCTAATTTGTGCTCAATGTTAAACAAAATAGTCATCCCAAAGTGCATTAGCAATACAATCTCCCAATTCATCGCCATCATTTTTATGAGCAAGGGTTTACATTGTTATGCAATTTGAGATTATTTGTTTCTTCAATTGGTTCAAAGTTCAAGATCCCTATCATACTCCTTGTAGAGCCAATCATCACCACCAGCTATAGATCAAATATGATTGTGCAAAGTGCAAGCAATATTTCATAAATATATGATGTTGCTACTTTCAAGAGAGGCAACCATTTCTTCAACACAACAAATGCACATTCACATTAGGCTGAAATTTCCCATGTGGTTTCCTAGGGTATATGATGCAATGTATTAGGGCAAGAACAAGCTCACCCTGCTTGAATGAGCAATTTTTCGTAGGCATTACCCATTTGTGCTTGATATATTTCTCTATTTTGCTTGGCACAGAGTCGCCTTTCATGTAATGCTTCAAGTTCTTCCAAGCGAATCATAGTCCTGTCATCTTCCCACGTGTTATTATATACTATCACGCGTAAAGACGGTATTTTGAAATATAGGGGTAAAACCGATTCTCCAACATAAATAAAGGCATGTGTAGTAATCACAATTGGTCCTCTCGTTGTGGTCTTGTAAACGTACAATACTTTCGGTAATCTTTCATGCCAGTCTCTTTTTACATTAGAGACTACTGCCTTATGAAGTGCATTGCATAAAGCTTCATCGAATACAACTTTACCATTAGGTTGGGGTTGGTAGATTGTAAAGTACTTTCTGTTGGGATTAGCAAGGATTTATAACATTCACAATTATTGTGCATTCATATCAATATAAACAAGCAATGGAAACTACATAATATCAAAGCAATAACATGAAATGAAAAATCTAGCAATATTCAATCCACAGAGCATAAAGATTTAACGTGGTTTGATCACAAATCGTGACCTACATCCACAGGAGAATGACGCGAGACTTTACTTACTGATTTGGAAATATTACAAAGTGAAATCGAGCTCAAAATATCAATTTCTAGCAACCCTTTCTCACTCTAAATAGAGCCCCAAAATAAGGCACTAAGAGCACCAAAAAATTCTTTTTAACGTTTTCTCTTACTAAAACAGGACATACAGCAAACCCACAATAGAGTTCAAGCTTTTTGCTCACTCTATCTCTAAAACAAAGTATACTAAGCTCCCAAGAGAAAACCCAATTGCCACCCAATCTTTCTATCTTTTTCTCACTCTTTCTCTCTCTAAACAAAAGGGTTTTAGTCCCTTTAAAAGCGTAAAGTTCTAACAACACCACAACTATTGGATTAGATGTAATCCAATGGCCCAAAATAAAAAAGAGAAAAGTTAAATAAAACTCCCACAAGTACTATTTGTTTTTACACATGTAACAATCTCCCACTTGAAGACAAATCACAAAGTCTTTGAAATAATCGCCAATGCACCACTCTCCATCCACCCGAGGTTACGTCTCCTCCAACCCCGAAAGCCTTCTACACGTCGTATTATTTTTAGTTCAGACAACCTTTGTTAACATATCAGCAAGGTTCTTCTCAATATGAATCTTGTCCATTTGTAAATCTACGCTCGAGGGCCAACCGAATAAAATGATATCCAACCTCTATATGCTTTATCTTGGAATGATACGATGTATTCTTAGCCAGATGAATATCACTCTAGTTATCACAATGCACAATATATTTTTCTTGTTTCACCCCAAACTGGCTAAGTGACATTCACAACCAAATCATTTGCTTCGCTGCCTCAGTCAATGACACATACTCATCTTCAGTTGATGACAAGGGAACGATATCCTGCAACCTTGACATCTACCTGACTACACCACCATCAACATTGAAAATATATCAAGTGGTAAACCTTCTAGTATCACGGCATCCTGCATAAACTTCATCTACAAAACCAACAACTTCCAATTATGAATTTATAAAACACAAGCATACATTTCGTGTCCACTTCAATACCGAAGAATCCACTTAACTGTTTGTCAATGGTCCCAACTTGGATTAGACATAAATCTGGAAACAACTCCCACTGCATGGGTAATGTCAGGTTTAGTACAAACCATTGCATACATTAAACTACCCACTACAGAAATATATGAAACATTCTTTATCTTATTTTTATCTACCTCATTCATTGGAGACTCCCTTTTAGACAACTTGAAATATGCAGTTAATGGCATAGAAACAGGTTTATAGTCAACCATATTGAAGCACTCAAGAACTATAGAAATATATTTAGATTAACTTAACCAAAGCTTACCTTGCTTTCTGTCTCTATGAATGTACATGCCCAAAATCTTTTTGACTGGTCCAAGATCCTTGGTGGCAAAATTCTTGGACATATCAAGCTTTAAACGCTTGGTTTAACACAAATCATTGCTAGCAACATGCATATCATCAACATAAAACAACAAAACAGTAAAAGAATCATATGTTGAACCCTTGAAGTACACACAATGATAAAAAACGTATTTAGAATAACCTTCACGCAACATAAAGCTATTACATTTCTTATACCATTTTTTAGATGCTTTTTTCAAACCATACAATCCCTTTTTCAACTTGCAAACTAAGTTATGATTGGTTTTGTTCTCAAAACATTCAGGTTGACATTATTGGAGAGTCCCTATATAGAACATTATTCATCTTACTTCTATCTACCTCATTCATTGGAGACTCCCTTTTAGACAACTTGAAATGTGCAGCTAATGGTGTAGAAACATATTTACAATCAATCATATTGAAGCACTCAAGAACTTTAGAATATATTCAGATTGACTTAACCAAAGCTTACCTTGCTTTCTGTCTCTATGGATGTGCTTGCCCAAAATCTTCTTGGCTAATCCAAGATCCCTGGTGGCAAAATGCTTGAACATATCAAGCTTTAAATGCTTGGTTTCACACAGATCATTGTTAGCAACAAATATATCACAATATAAAACAACAAAACAATAAAAGAATCATATGTTGAACCCTTGAAATACATACAATGATCCAAATCGCATTTAGAATAACCTTCACGCAGCATAAAACTGTCAAATTTCTTATACCATTGCCTAGATGCTTGTTTCAAACCATACAATCCCTTTTTCAACTTGCAAACTAAGTTATGATTGGTTTTGTTCTCAAAACCTTTAGGTTTACACATAGAAATTTCTTTATCAAGATTACCATGCAAGAAGACAGTTTTAATATCAAGTTGTTCTAGCTCCAAATTCAAGTTAACAACCAAAGATAAAACAACTTTAATAGACCTATGCTTAACAACTTAAGCAAAAATTTCATTAAAATTAACACTTGGTTCTTGTCCATAATCTTTCACCACAAGTCTGGCTTTATATCACAGAAGACCATTTGCCTCCCACTTAATAACATATACCCACCTATTCTTCAATGCTTTATTCCCATGTGGAAGTTCCACCAACTCCCACGTGTCATTCTTATGCAAAGCATCAATCTCCTCCTCCATTGCTTTATGCCACATTTCAACATTAGGGCAATAAATAGCATTCTGAAAAGGCTCAAGTTCACCACTATCAGTATACAAAACATAATAAAAGGAAGGAGAAGACCTTTGTGTGGGTTTGTGAGGGCATGTGGATCTTCTCAATTCTGGCTCAGGTGTAACAAGTATGCCTTCTTCATCTTGAACTAATTCAGTGTCATCCACTTAACTAGCATCACCTACATCAAAATTGTCTTGAGTTTGAGCTTGACTCTCTTTCAGTTGCCGAGATAAAACAATGGGATTTGGTTCTTGTATATCCAAAACAAGTCTTTCTTGTTTCGGCTTTTCTTGCTTCTTTTCAAAAGCCATCATATTCTCATTAAAGAGAACATTCCGACTTTTGATAGTTTTATTTGCAATAAGATCCCAAATCCTATAACCTCTATCATCACCACCATACGCAAGAAAAATACAACTTCTTGACTTGACATTCAGCTTGATTCTACTTTTGCTGGGCACTTGAACATAAGCTTCATACCCAAATGTTCTCAAGTGTTCATATGACACACTCTTACCTCTCCATAGAATTTCAAATATTTCACCATTCAAAGAGGCACTGGGAGATCTATTAATCATACATATAGTTGTATTAGCAATTTCTGCCTAAAATTGCTTACCAAGACCAGATTGTGATAGTATGCTTCTTTCTCTTTCAATGATGGTCCTATTCATCATCTTGGAGACACCATGTTGTTGTAGTGTCCCAAGAACATTCGTTACTATGCGAATGCCATTATCTTTACAAAAAGTATCGAAAGTATTCGAGCAATATTCACCACCATTATCAGTTTGCAAGCATTTTATAAATCTCTCTGTTTCTTTTTCAACCTTGGCTTTAAAATCTTTGAAAACTTCAAAAACTTGATCCTTAGATGCCAATGGATAAATAATAATCTAAAAACGTGACAAAATAAAACGCTCCATCAAAAGATTTAACATTAACAGAGCCACAAACATCAGAATAAATCAATTCTAATGCTTTACTTTTTTTATGAGATTCATTTCTTTTAAAACTAACTCTATGCTGCTTACCCATGGCGCAATGATCACAAAAATCAAGAAAGAAATGCTTAGAAATAGAAATAAGATTTTGAGTTTGCAATACGTTCATACCATGCTCACTGAGATGACCCAAACCGCTATGCCAAATCTGCATATCCTCATGCCTACTAGCTACAACAACGATCTTCTTTGTAGCATCATTCTTTTTTGAGTTGTGCCATGAAGAGTGTAGAGACTCTCATCTTTTTGCCTTTTCAATATTGTCATACAACCTCGTGAAATTTTCCATGACCCATTTCCAAAGCTAGAGTCATCTAATTGCCCGACTGAAATGAAATTTTTCTTCAACGCAAGAATATGCATCACATTTCTCAATGTGTGCTTCTTTCCATCTGATTGCTTCATAATAACATTTTCAATGCCCAGCATTTTGAAAGCTCGATCATCACCAAGATAAACCAAGCCACCATCCAAGCCACCATCCACATCAATGTAAGATGAAAAATATGACCTTTTTGGGTAAACACGAATGAAGCACCAAAGTCTAAAACCCAAATATCTGCAATAGACAATATTGTGCATGCAACAGTAAAAGTGACCTCATCTTCAATATCTGAAACTGTACTTGTTTCGGCATGGTTTATCCTTACCCTTGGCATTTTGCTTATTCTTTAAATAATAATAATCTTTCCTTGTGCGACCAGGTTCTTGCAATACCAGCAAGTAACATTCTTGCCTTGTGACTTGGACCTGCCTCTGCTATGAGATTTGCCCCTATTAAATCCATAGGGTTGGTCTTTATATTGTGTTCTTCCTCTATCTCTTGCTGCCAATGCTTGATTTGATTCGGCAAGTATTTTGGTGGATGCCTTTCTAGTCTCTTCATTTAAGAAAGAAGCTACAACATCTTTTAAATAAAACTTGTTACCCATTGTATTAGTCACAGTAGTAACCAAGGTATCCCAACTAGCAGGCAAAGAACTCAGCAAAAGCAAAGATAATACTTATTCATCCAAATTCACTTTCAAAGACCTCAATTGTGTAAAAATTGAATTAAATTCACTCACATGCGACCTAATTGGACCGCCTTCTTTCATTTTCAAAAGAAATAATTGTTTCATCGCATTTATTTTATTTGCACCAGAGGGTTGCTTAAAAGATTGCCAAAGCTCTGTAAATGTTTTATATTGACAAACATTAAATAAAATTGACGGTGAAATACATGGTCTAATAGCTGCCAAACATTTTCAATCAAGAACATCCCATTCCCAATCTTCCATTCCAACAGGCATGGCCTCCCTACTTCGAAGTGGCCGATCTAATTATTTTTCGACAAAATAATCTTCTATCATCATTTTCTATATTGGCCAATTACTTTGATTTAATTTTTTAAATTCCATTACCCTTTCCATTTTCAAGAAAAAATACAACAAATAACCACAATAGCAAAAATATCATTTCTTCACAGACACAATGAAGAAAAAACCTAAGCTCTGATACCAGTTGTTGGGATCGATTGGTGAAAATCGGCAAAGGTAATATAAACAATAAATGGAAACTATACAATATCAAAGCATGAACATGGAATGAAAAATCCAGCAACATTAAATCCACATAGCACAATATTTAACGTGATTTGATCACAAATCATGACCTACATCCATGAGAGAATGACACGAGACTTTATTTACTGATTTGGGAAGATTACAAAGTGAAATCAAACTCAAAATATCAATTTCCAGCAGCCCTTTCTCACTCTAAACAAAACCCCAAAACAAAGCACTTAAAACATCCAAAAATGACGTTTTTTTAACACTTTCTGCCACTAAAACATGGTATACAGCAAACCCACAATGTATAGTTCAAGCCTTTTGCTCAATTTTTCCCTCTAAAACAAAGCATACGAAGCCCTCAAGACAAAACCTAATTGCGGCCCAATTTCTTTATCTTTTTCTCATTCTTTCTCTCTCTAAACAAAAGGGTTTTAATCATTTCAAAAGTGTAAAGTTCTTACAATACCACAACCATTGGAATATAAAATAGTTTTAATCTTTTCAAAAGAGTAAAGTTCCTACAACACCACAACCATTGGATTAGATGCAATCCAATGGCCCAAAAAAAAAAAAAGGTCAAATAAAACTCCCTTATGTGTGATTTGTTTTCACACATATAACACTTTTCTTCATCAGATGGAA